CTCTACGGAGCAACCTTCTCAAGTGTGCGTGTGCGTGTGGGTGTGTGTGTGTAACCCTTGGAATCAAAGGGAACCTTTAGGTTTGGAACAGGGGGACTGCCTGGCTTGTAACAGTGGCAGTCCAACGAAGAGGCTGTTACAAGTCACTGATATGGATTCTGGACGCAGAATCCACGTACCTGCGTGATTTTTAACCCTTTGTGCAGACATGCACGACACGCCGTCACTTCGACCTGATCGCCGACCTCGATCTTGCGCTTTGGGCCACCTTTCCTTTTGAAGACCCCCAGGATTCGATGGTTTCTTACTGGTACTCTTAGGAAATGGTACCCTAGGCCGACGTGTGGCACCGCTGTCAAGTCAGTACGCATATCCATAAGTGTGTCTCTCCTAGTGGGAGTCCGGGATGAGCTCGTAGAGTGCCTCCCGCGGACCCGTCCCTGCCCGGATACAGAGCAGCTCGCAGCGAGCGTAGGTGGCCTAGGCCGAGAGAATTCAGATTTTTGTCTCATCTTTGGAATTCCAAGTTGGCTGATGCCTTTACGTGACCGCAGCGGTCAAAGCAGCCAGCCACTTTGGCAAGGCACAAGGTGACCGCAGCGGTCGAAGTATTTTTGAGGTTCGTTGGAACCTGTGGAGAACTTACCCCCCCTCCTCCCCCTTCCCTTAACTGGAAACCCAATATCAAAGTGTGTGCCGCTGTGCCGTCCCACGTGGGTGCACAGTTTGATCCCCGTCACTGGGGCGCTGTTTTCATGCTGGATTACCACTAACTGACTTTCCCGCTTTCTGCGCTTGTTGGATTATCTTAACGGACTTTCGTTTCACCACTGTATTCTCAAAAACCCAAGCCGCCGGGCACCACGGATTTACGACCGCCGGGTATACGGAAATTCAAAGCTGCCGGGCATACGGAGAATTGCCCCACACAACCCCCCAAGTTCTCTACTCCCCACCTAATTAGGGTAACAGACACTTGTGTGTCGGTGCCTTTCCCTCTGTTGTCCCTGTTCTAGTCTACTCTACCCGGGCGGTTTAAGACTAAAGTCCCGCTCCCTAACTATTGCACCTAATTAGTTTCCGCTAAGTAACCGGTAACTCTACAGCGCTAAGTATTCAGAGACACACATGTACACACACATGGACATACACCCCCTCCCTGCCCCCCCCTTTCTTTCTTCAGGCTTCTTAGGTGGTTCTTGAGGCTCGTTTCCCTACCCCAGTCAAGGGCTAAGTATTCACTTTTTGCTACACCTATCTTTCTCTCCTGCCCTTTTAGCGCTGCTCTTTCTGCTTTTCATTCTTTCTTTCTTAGGTGCCTATTTAGGTTTTTGCACGAGAGCGCGGCAAAGCAGCTGAGTGTGTGTGTCACACTCTGTTTCTAAGAGTTTTTGCACGCAGGGGGCTCACGGGTCTGTTGCTGGTGTGAGCCAACGAAGGTCCAGGTTTAGAGTAGGATATCGAAAGAGGACGCTCTTTCGACGTACCTGCTGAGTTTTTCACAAGCTGTTACCCCATTTTTCCGTGGTTTGCTTCCATGGTGGTTTGCATGATACCTCCCTTAAACCATTCCTTTGTCGCGTTTCCTGCAGCTGAGTCGCGCTGACGCTCGCCGCCGCAGACATGTCAACAGATTGTTCAAACAATACAAGTGCGCTGACCCTTTCACCTTGCGGTTCAATCACCTTTTTCGACCTGGGAACTGA